GTATGTCAATGATCAACCTAAAACTTACTGCAATTCAACGTAGGTGAATGCAAGGTACTTTCTATCCGACATCAGAGCAGCTACTCATACCGGATCGGAACGAATGTACTACGACGATCAACTCCCGAACGTAACTTGGGTGTCCTGGTTCAGCATGACAGATTGTTCCAGGCAATCCGAAAAGGCCACAAAAATTGGGAACCAACACGTCTGGCTGTTACGATAGGCGTTTGGACAGATAAACAGCTTCATATTTCGAGAAATGCTCAGTGCGTATGTTCGCCCACATATCGAATACGCAATTCAAGCCTGGCATCCATGGCTGAAACACGACCTTAATGTACCGGAGCAACCACAATACCGGGCATCTAAGAACGTAACTGGAATGAGAAATCTTTCATACGAGAAGGCTGCAACGATTAAGGGCATTCTGTGGAAGCTATCGCAGAGTACGAGGCGACCTGATTATGGCATAATTGATTTTGCGAGACCCACATCATGTGTGCCGCCCTTTACTGCAACTCATCAGCAATACAACCCTGAGGAGCCACTCATTGAAACTCTCTTTACAGTATAGCCGCCTGGAGGGTCGCAGAACTTCCTTTTGCATTCGGGTCTGTCACCTGTGCAATGCTCTCCCAGAATCGGTCGTCTCTGCACCGACACTAACAGTATTTAAAAGACGGTTGGATGATGCGCTCATCCACTTACACTTTGTCACTTAGCACTACGTCTCCATCCTACACCTAGAGTTTACCATGGAATTATTTGATGTCAGCTGTGGGTACTGTGAATCTAAGCGAATCACAGGACTACAGCGGAGCAAACGATAGGTTCTTATTTTCATATTTAAAGTACTAACCGTTTTATTATCATTATTAGCATTATTGCTTTGACGATATCCCGAGCAACTATCTAACGGGACTTGGGAACAACTCTTCTTAACCCGTATAAATTCATTGTACATTGTTCATTAATTTCTCGGACGCCATTAAAATGCCAATCACTTCAAAAAAACATTTTACATTCGTTATATAAAACATAAACAAGTAACTATTCTATGCGATCTCGTAGTACAGGTTGCTCAGGCCACTCATTTGGACTGTGCTTCGCACCATTGTGGAATAAATCGCTTATTTATTTATTTATTCTAGTTAGCGATACTTCGGTCTGTCGAAATGTCGTTAATAGAATACAAGGAGGCCACCCGTCAGTGTAGTCCAAACACTTGTTGATAGGCATATTACTTCCCTACTGTCGCGTCTGCGCATATAGAAAATAGTGTATGTAGTAGTCCAGAAAGGATTGTAGCTGTTTCAGAGTATCCGTCTAGTTTCGGCGTGTAACCCGCAATCTCATTTTGAATCATCTTCTACTTTGAAGTAAAAAGATTCCATCCCAATCTAAGCGTGTCCGAAGTGAAAATTTCTGGGCTGCTCAATCCAACCACTGAGATCCACGATCAGGTTCGCTCTGATTTGGATAGAGATGATTGGTTGGGAGTGTAATTTGGATCCTAGTGGTTCACAACAGATACCTTGATCATTAGGAAATTTAGCTCCATGTGTCTAGTAATCAGGATGTCAAATATAAATCACTCGAAATCTCGACTACTTTTGGCTAAGTAGTGCAAGCAAGTGCGATGCTGATCATATGGTGCATTGTTGTGAGTGAGCAGCACCGAAAACTCTCAATTAGAAGAGAGTTTTATATGAAGTTAAAGGTCGTATTTTTGGTTTTAAAAGATGTGGGATGATGAAGCAATCACTTGCATTTTGGGGTACATGATGATCTTGGCGGTGACTTCCTTCGAGTGACTCTGAGCTGATTAAGTTTGTAACGGAAGGGAGAGAGAGGTGGAAAAATATCAGACTACTACGAATGTCTGAGTGGCATGGACCGTGTATGAAACTCATTTACCTGGTCTGAGAAGCCTCGTATGGCCTTTGACTCGACATTCTAACCCGGAAGCATTGGTGAAATGGCTCATGCATGTTATGTGACTCCACAGCTCCTCATGAGCCCAAGTTAGACAGGACGCAACGTTTTTATTCACTTCTGAAGAATTATTGCACAAGCTTTAATGCTTTGTACTTTGGATGCATCAGTACCGTTAGTCGTTTTCACCTCACCTTTTAGTGTCGCTGCCTTAAGCCTGCTTGTAGAGCATACTTTAGGAGACAGGTCCGGTTCCTTGTCCTTTAAACTTTGAATGTACTAACCACAGTTCCTCAGTGAATCGGGAAGGCACGTAGGTCGTTGGACTGCGTTGAGGTGATTTCTCATTTTTACTTTTATAGATGATACTATCGGCGATTTTTGTCATACCCAATCCACAAATATGTTCAAGTCAATCTAGAGAAAGTGTGTACTAATATCTGAAAATAATAATTATTTGAGCAGGAAGACTAGCTTTGTTTGTATTTGCATAACCCATTGAGCTCCTGAGGATAAAGTGCAAGTAGTTGTGTCTAATAACCGCTGGTTTTCCCATTTGTGTACCCCGCATACGGTTGGTAACCCATAAATTGCATGCGATTTTCTAGGTACATCTCGTCAGCCTCGCAGTTTAACTGTCCTGCCACCATTGGTACTCTCGTAACAACCATCGATGTCACTGGCATTATTACTAATAAGGCCATCAATTTAGCCAGTGAATTAATGCGGTTATACTGACCTGAATAATCTTCACTTATGGTCACAACAGAATTCATTGCGGGTTGAAAAGTACGAAGGTTAAGAAGTCGCGATACTCCAAACCGATGCATAACCATTTGCAGAGAATTGCCAACATACTTACTTATTTACTGCAGGCATTCATTTGGATGCAATAATTTAATTTGTACTGTTCGTCCTTATGCATTATGTTAGCATCGAAAAACGAAAAAAATTTAGGCGCTTGACGCCTCCTGAAAAGGTGGCAATAGTGCAACTGAAAGAAACGCCTTCTAATGGGACCACAATACCCCGTCACACACCGTCATATTACTCCGGCGACTATTGAAAACCGGACCTTATTGGAGTTTTAGCAGCTTGTCCTGATAAGCACACTTTCATTTGTTTCCATGTACTAAAATCCCTTTTAGGGCCAAACTGCCCATTCTATGCAATTTCTGTATCCTGTGCGACTGTTATCAACCGGCGACACAAGCATAATCCAGTGCGTATTTTTAGTTTACGCAGTTTCTTTTGACTGCCGCAAACGGAGTCCACTAATCGGACAGTTGCGTTTTTTTCAGCTGGCTCACGCGGGCTCCGTGGCCTACTCCCTACCCTATGCGGTCAATCCAATTGAATGACTTGCGGCCTTTCGATCTTATTTTCTCCACTTTAAACTACCTAATTTGACAGCAGTAATATTGAAAAAAAGACAAATTAAAGCATAGACATTCGAGCCCGGACATCTGCAGCGCGGGCCATTCGTCACATGTAGCACTCGCTTCCTTTTTGAACTCATCAGGATTGAGACACCGGATAAGGATTTATGGTTTCTTGAGGAGAGTAAATATCCAGCTGTGACAAATTCTCTTTACCATTTACATTTGTGTTCAAGCTCATTCGTTGGCATTGTACCATTCGTGAATTAATCAACGTATATTAAATCAAACTCATTCAGATCACTGTACCCTGGTATACAGCCAACATTGGAAACATATGGATCTTTCATCAACTGGTAAAATTACACGTAAATCAAAAAGACCAATTATGTGAAATGTTTTGGACAGTACCAGGTTATCAATGTTAGATGGATCATCAATAAACAGAAATTTTGGGGTTTTCTGTGCCGCATCGGTAAGACCGCTCAAATGCTCAACAACCTAGCGGAAGAATTTTAACCCCAAGCTGTGGCGGAAGTTATTTTACTCGTCATAAATCCACGGTGAATACCCTAGTGCTTCTACAATGTTTCCCCAGGATGGTATGTCTATTTGGTCTTCTTATTTTAATACGTTACTTTCCACTAGAATCCTTAGAAATTTTTCAGGTCGACTGATAGAAGTAGTCCATTGTACTGGGGCCAGGAGCACGCAGTGTTTTCGAATCACTAACAGCTTACCATCTTAATCATCGGAGCAGTTGACAGGCAGTTTGGCGGAAATCAAACCTCTAACCATAATCGTGGTGAGCTAGCTACTGAGCATTTATGATGACCTCTACCGCCTTACATCCTATTGATAATTATCCGATAATTTAGATCTAATTTGGTGCACATTTTTAAAGACATGTGGTTGCTGTCACTTATGCGTATCATTATGTTCTTGTGAAAATCGCTGCTTTCCATCTGTTTCTCCTAACAGGGACCATATGTGTCATGGAGACGCACGATACGGAAAACCAGGTTAAAGAGTAAAATTATAAGTAAGCATGAAACGCTTACTCTGCCAAACTAAGCGGAGGATTTCATAAAGTGCAATAAAGCAAGGGGCGTGTACAATGACCACTAAGTAAAAGCACGCGATAGACGATGGTTAGCTCTTTGTACCTCGTTGCTTACTTCCCACATTTACAGCAGCTGCAGCCATGAACTTTCGTACAGCAATGTATGTGAAGCCTTGCATCCGTTGATGTTGTTGTCGTCATCAGGGAGCTAAACAGGAACCATCTAATATATGTATGTTTCAGTGCCATTAGAATAATCTTTATCATATTGCCAAACTTCCCTCACCTCTGCGTGCAACGTTGGGCTACACCTTGCTTGTAAATTATCTCAGTACGAGGAAACGCATACAGGTGTTGGTTTGAAGGCCACAGAATAACTGCTATAATTATTAGACTGGTTAAGTGTCGAACATGCATACTAAGTGTAAAGCCGAACGTCTGACAAAATCCGTTCCAACTTGAGCAGTTGGTGCTTAAGTGGGAACTCACATTTCGCCATAAAGCATTGTCATTAACTTGATTTACTTTCACACAATAAATGCACTTTCCATCTAGTTGTGAGATCATGCACATTTTCTCATCACTGATTTGGATATGTGAATCTCTCGGGCGTCACTCACCGTTGCAGCACAAATAAGGTGAACAATGCTGTTTCTTGGATTCTGGTTCACTTGCTTCCCTGAGCTCCGATAGTGCATCATCGACTTGCCAATGTGTGCGGTTGAACTGGCAGAAATCACCAGAATAGGCCGGATGACAAATGCATTTGTACTGAAATTGTGTGAAATGTAAGCGATAAACACTCGGAGCATCTATGTGTTTTGGTTCTAGTAATGGCACGGATTAGAGCAGATTGTGTTCAACTGCTGGTCTTCGTGATAACGTCAAATTTGACATCAATTGCAATGAAGCATAAGTTATGCATTTACCTGTGCTTGCCTTATACCACTAAAACAAAAACGTTTTATCTACTTGTAATCTGCATGTTAATAAAAGGCGACTGACCAGCGCTTTTAAACCAATGTATTTTCATCTTTCGTTTCAAATCGGCCAAGACTTTCCCGTGGTGCCTCAGCTGGTACTGACAGTCTAAAAATTATTTGCAGAAGGAATTTCTAAATGTGCATTTTAGCGCCACTGACCTCAACGATTATTTGATGCGAGCTTTAAGCAACTTCCGTCTAACGGCCCTAGCTTCGATTTGGATAGGACCACCAAAATAGTAGGACCCTAGATGACCATCCTGGTGAACGAAAAGCTTATTCGCCTTTATTTCAGTCGTATGCTACGAATTAACATTATGACATCATGTTATTTTATTGTACTAGATCATTTACATATGAATGCATGCACGTTCCGTGGTTGTTTTGACCACATTTTACCCACGATTTGTGTTACTGAATTTCGAACTGCAGCCAAACCCATGCGATGATTTCTTACCGAGCAAAATTTTCTAACTCCTTTCAGTTCATGTGGCGACAAACGCGCTTACGTCTGATGACGATTCAGAGCCGAGATTAGGCGCCTCCAAAGGAGACGAAATACCCCAAGTGTTTTCAGTGTTTATTTTAAGTTAACGGATGGTATTGACGGAAATTCATTACTGTCTGTTCTGCTGCATGATGTGCACACAAGATAAACCCTAACACGGTCAGCTTTTGCATGGCGACATCATAATTCAGTATATCTGGGTCTCCTCCGTCAATAATGTTTCTATGCTAGCGTAATTTCCATTATGCAGATGATAAAATTGCACCGGAACAGCTACCGGAGTTACCCAATTCTGGTAAACGGGCACAAACATTTCCGCATGGTTAGTAGCAATGATACTTTTCCATACTGTACCGGCTGACCTTATTGCCAGGCGTTAGAAGCACCAACTGAGTAAAATCTAACAACTGAATTCATAGACGCAGAAGTTATGTAGTGGCACTAGAAATATGTTTAGCTAGTGTGTGAAATTACACGACGTCAATGTTGGTTACAACTCAAACTCTATGGTATCTCAACCGTTTTTCTAGCCTGGCGCATACAGTGTGAAGTTTAAACGTACCTTACTGTTGGACTGTTTCTCACAGTTTCCTCGTCCATCACAACCTCGGGATGTGCAGTCAAACTCGCAATGTGTACCCCAGAACCCCGGCAAACAAACGCATTTATGGAACCCGTTTCGACGAGTTTCAGTGTTGATGCATTGACCCCCATTTCGACAGGCGTCCAGATGCCTTTCGCAAAACTGTAATTCTAAAAAGAACAATGAAGTGATGCGAATTATCCTTGACCAATCACCAAAAATAATGGAATTTAGACACGATGCCCTGAAGTGCACGGGATGAATACTTGGGAAAGCGTTTGGTATTCGTTCGAGAGTACGACAAGCAACAAATAGTCTTACTTTTGAAAGTGCACAGGTGAGAAATTTTCCGAGAAGCGATGTACATAATAGTTGATCTATTGACGAGTGTATTTGCTGAAGGTAAATGTTAACGCTGTAATACTGGAAGAGAAAGCCGCAATGAATAACTGGGATTAATTCTGTTCTAACGGCTTGGAGTCACTAACCAAGCTAACGGAACGTGCAGTGCAGCAACTGCTGCGAAGTGCAAGATTTTATGCTGACTGGTGACTAATCAGCCATTGCATCAGATTGATCAAACGTAATCTAGTTTCCCTCTTAGTATTCAATTGCTATGGTCTGTGAACTAACAGAGCAACCATGTCAGTCTGGCGCGCCATAATCTTTAATCGAATTCACTTGACAGCTACCCCAAATATCAATTATGTATGCGATCTTACTTGAGACATCGGTAATCTGAGCAATAGGAAAGACTTCCTCGTGTGATAAATTTCTACATTTCCAAATTGTTGCTAGTCTACTCCCTTCGAAAACATCATCTCGACGTGATTTCTTCAGTTGGTGGTATCCCGTTGAAGCTGACAGTTGATGATCAGAACATACGACATGATTGAACTGAATGCAGACAACTAGGAGAGTTTTGCCGTTAACCTCTTAAACTACTAGAGTAGTGGCGAAGAGAAACAGTGAACTCCCCTTTTTGAGCACAGGATGCATTGAACACAGTACTGAATGGATGAAAAAGAAATGCGTTGGCGCTGGGACAAATGCTGAACGTCATAACCATCAAATTAATGATAATTTAGAAGTAGGAAGTAGCGAACAAGCTTGTACACACAAAAGGACATTTGCGACCGGCGTATCCTCTGTTTGAGTTGCTGGCGCACAGTTGGTGTTGGGGTGAGGTTTACAAGTAAGTCGGCCGCAAAGTACGTTTTGACAGTAGCCAGGGTAAGCCTTCGGGTAGTTCGCTGCAATATCGCGTCGCCCTTAAACGGTAGCGATGAGTATATTAGACCCTTATCTGGAAAAGCAGATTTCATCTTCGGTACTTGCGGTTCCATGTGCTTCTGGATGAATGTTTCTGCGCTATCCATTACTTTCGAACACCCTTCGGAGGAAGCAACCCCACAGGAACCGTATCTCTGTACATATTCGTCTCGCTCTCTCAGTGTGATAACGGACTAGATTACGCTTCTGGCTGATTGGAACGAAACTATGAAAGTGGGCATATTGTCCATTCCAAGTTCCCTTTCTGTGCATTCACCTCCGCATTGTCCCGTCTGCTGCTCTGTTAATCTGAATATTGTACGCAATGCTGGATCCCAAGTGCTATGGACTTCAATTACTTGTTTACTGTTTTAGCTAATGAAATCGGTTACCTATTTTTTTGAGTACTTTTCGAAGAAGATCCTTCACGGCTGCTCACAAATAACTGGCCTGAATATGCACATTCTCGTTTCACCATTGCAATATGATTAATATCTCGGCAATCTGTGCGTATGGCTATCTTTAAGAAGAACGACACATAATCTTTACAATTGTCCTCGTAGTCTGGTCGAAAGAACGCACCGTGTTACGTTGTTCAATTTGTGCAGGCTGTAACCATTAATCTCAGAGTGGACAGTGCAACAATTCTGTCCCAGCAGCCATAGTTCAAATCTGGTTATATTTGAGCAATGATGGTTTATAAGGGGTATAAAAGCAATGCTTGACAAGTCCCGTAGAATGGTTAGAACAAAGAATACAAGATGAAACACTGTAAAGAGTGCGCAAGATACATGGACTTACTAAGAGGTTCAGGGTAGCACATATATGAGTATCCTTGCCTGAAGTTAACAGCAATCCGACACCATCAACTGTCTGTCCTGCACTAATGCCATCATCTGCTGGTCACTCGGCGTAAAAGTGTTAGGATATCGTCAAAGCAATTTATGTGCAATAGAAATGGGAGCTAATTGAATGCTTTGGGCGTGTAGTTCCCCGAAAGATCACTTAGCTTTTGTGTACAATTTCATAGATGAACAATTGTGCATTGTGCTTTCTTGTTTTAATCTCCCTTATATCGCGGCCATGTTAATTTACATCCAGCTCGACATTTCACTGCCTGTAAGTTATCGCGCTAACGTTTGCTCCGTCTCGTTTCATCAGTCCACCTCTTTAATAGCGCATCGAATATAGTCCGCTGGGTCAGTCTTCAAATGCCTTCTGATATCCGTGCTTGATTACGCGCATTGTCTCGGACTAGTAGTTACTAGCCCTATAAATCGATGACCCTTATCCGAATTTAAACTTATTTCATCTTTTTTAAGTGTTTGGTGAGTTTGATTCTTTTCTCGCATATATATATAAATGTGTGTGTATTTGTTTGGTTCCTGCTTGATTTTCGGTTTCATCGTGTTTTTGTTCATCCTTGCTCTCGATTCATAACTGGGAAATGACATTCGAGTAGTTTCACAGCATAGACATGCTTACTTTGGCTGCTCCAACTTACATGGAACACAGCCAAGTGGTTTGGTTTGCGAGATCGAACTGAAAAAGAATTGCATTCAAACGGACCGTTCGATGTGCCATCAGCTCATCCCACGCCCTCCTACTACGGTTGGGACGCTGGTTAAGGAAGTTCTACTCTGTCCATCGAATGAACAAAGTATGAAACGATGCAGCAAACAATGTTAAAGTAGTTAATGCCCAGCGCATGGGTGCGATTTGCACTACTTATTGGTCTCAAACTGGGATATCATAAACCGTCAAATTGCTCCCCAAAATTCAGCAAATCGTTGGTCCCTTATGGTTGAGCAAAGAAGGAATAAAGGAACAGTGGTTTGCACATCCAGAGATATTGCCGGTAATGTTGTGCAAGTATCTGGATACGTCACCGGAAGACCTAGCTACTAAAGCAAAAGCTGCATTGGAACTTCTTCCGCAACAGACAAATGATAGCTTCGGTGACGTATCCTCACCGATAAACACCGAGTCTCATTTTTGCTCCAAGACGTCCGGCCGAACTGACACTAAAAACGAGGAAATTACGCCACTTCGCCGCAGGATAGCAGCAGTAAAGACTTCGAAACAGCGTGTGCCACGGTCAGATGCTGATCACCTTTTGGCTACCGGGCATTGCGGCTAGTCTGTGCCAGCAACGAGTGCGTTTCTTTCGACAAAAACGAGCAAGATTTTGCACTGCACGTTCTCCGTCACGTAATGCCAAACCCATCCAAGAGTTGTGTTGGTAGCATCGCCAATATGGTGGAAAAGCTAGACGTTGTCGGGCTCCCTGCATTGGTCATGGGTCAGCCGCTTCAAGGAAAGCGAATAACCCGCGTACTGGCACGACTAACGCATTCACCAACAATCAAGTAAATTGTTTGTTATCTTATGGATCGACGTTATTCCATCACTTTCCTCATCGACACGGGAGCCAAATTCAGCATCATCCCTGTGAACGCGAACGACAAACACACAAAGCCCAAGTATAACCTGTGTGCGGCCAACAGTTCTCCAATGGCTTTATTCGGTCGACGCATGCTGAACCTGTACCCCAATCTCCGAGGAGATTTTCAGTAGGTTTTCGTGGTTGTATCTGTATTTTTCACACTGATCCTTTTCGACTTCCTCCGACATTTTAACTTGCATGTTGATGCTGGTCGTCACAGACATTTAGACGACCGTGCTAAACTAGTGGTGGAAGTCGTTATTTCAGACACACCGATATTCAGTCCCGTTTTCCGAATCGCCGATGTACCTACAGATTATGCTAACCTATTGTATGAATACCTGCGACTGATCCGATCAACTGCGGAGCTCCAACCATTTACGACAGAAGTCGGTTATCATCTTGTCACGCACGGTTCTCCAACAAGTTCCTGACCAAAAAGTCTCTCCTCCGACAAGTTACGCGCCGAAAAATCTGAATTCGATCAAACGCTTCAGCTGTGTATCATCAGAGCATCCAATAGCCAAATGGGTGTCACCTCTCCACATGGTTCCGAAGATGGCCATGTGGGAATGGCGTCTTCGTGGCGGTTATCATTCCCTAAACAACGTGACCACGCCGGATCCCTATCCTATCCCACATATAGTGGATCACACTGCCAGTCCGGCAGGTAAAGTCATTTTCAGTAAAAGGGAAGGTGCGCGCATGCAACCAAATGCCGGTAGCTGAAGAGAACATCGATAAAACTACTTTGACGACTCCATTTGGCTCGTGCGAGTTCCTGTTCATGCCGTCTGATCTAAAGTATGTCGCGCAAACATTTCAGAGATTCATGAACTGAGATTGTCGTGGCCTAGACTTCACATGTGCTTATATTGACGACATATTAATGGCGAATACTTCACCAGATGGTCACGTGACACGTTGGAACACTTTTCAATCGTTTACCTCAACACGGGATGACGATCAACGCAGAAAGACACTTATTTTGTGTCGATGTGACCAGTTTTCTCGGACACCATATTTCTCCCACAGGCGTCGTGCAACTACAGGACAAAATTTAGGCCATCCTTGACTATCCCGAGCCCCACTCCTTTAAATAACTAATATGCTTTTGACGGTCTCGTCAACTATCATAGCTGTGTCAAACCTAGTTGCGTCTCACTTACGCAGCCCCTCATGGACCTTCTCCGAGGAAAG